ATGCACCCCTGCTAGCTTTCGTCACCTACCCTCGGCCTCAAGTATTTGTGTTTAAGTTACCGCCCTTTCAAGCCGCTACTAAACTACCAACATGGTCGATTTTGGTGGTAGTTTCTTGTATTAGGTTCCAAAAACAACCAAGTAACTTACCACATCTGTCCGCCCTGTGTATCCACCATGACACGCCGCCTTAGCACCAGCAGGTTTTCCTTCCTCCAATGGCACGGATTCACGCAAACGCACTTGCCATCGAGGTCGTGCAAAACCGCATGGCACAGCGACGTCACCTTTCAAAAGCTTTGGTTGTTAGTCTAATGAAGAATCAGTATTCTAATAAAGGTTTTTGTAGGGGAAAAGGAAGACCCCTCGATCTGGAGGTTTGTTGAATTTTTGGTACGCGCTTAATAAAGGATTTATATATTTATTTTAATGGATGACTTTTTGGTTTTGAAGCTCTTCCCAGGTGACCCTATTTTGGACCCCCCCCGATTTCAGGGACCCCTCATTTTAAAAATGCAGCCGAGTTTCTCTTTATAATAAGGGGAATGCCGTGTTTTTTTAAATAGGTGGACAGGATTAGTAGTGGGGCCCCACTTGTCCAAGACATCTCGGGGTGCCAGTAACATCGAACCTCTGATGGCCCACTCGTGCACTGCGGCTTGTGCAGGTGATGGCTGAGAAACTCCCCGGCGCCGTGTGTGGGCGCTTCAAGGAGTGCCTCATCACCGGGGCACCCTGCAGCGAAGAGGACTGGCGGACAGGGCCGGACAGGGCCGGGCAGACGGTGGCATGGGGTTTGTACCTGTTTGAGGGGAACCGGTGTCAGCACCTCAGCGCAGGAGACGAACAGCTGACTTAGCCCGCTACCCCGTGACATTCCAAAAAGTGAGCTGGCTTACACCTGCCTCAGAACTCCTGGCTCAATTCGCCAGACCATGCTTTGCTAGCCCCAACACACACCACTTGGGAATTGAACCAAAAGTATCTGATGCTCATGTGCACGTAGGCGCCCTAGTGGATTTATAATCATAATTTATAGTATACAGTATACATACATATAGATAAGATTGAATTGTATCAGATTTCATGTAAACTTTCTTGGTTGCATGAGCCCAAGCAACTCTGGTTCCCTTGTGCGCCCAGTCAGCCAGCTTGAAGGACATGAAGACGATTGCAGACTGCCTCTTTGCTTGGGCACGTGAGCGTGGAGCCATCGACTTCTCCCATTGGTTCTTCCCCATGCGCGGCGGTGGAGGCCGGGCGATTTACCGGGCGCTGGAAGAAAACCCAGAAAACCAGAGCTGCAGCTGTGGGAGCCCCCCCCCGTGCTTGAAGTGCATGTTGGAGACTCTCCTGAAAGGATATATTATGGATATATAGCCTAGCAGTGAAAAACAAACTGATTTTTTGGTATACCCAGCTGCGCATCGTTGGACAAGCGTTAAGGAATTTTCCCGGAAGCAAACTTAGATTTTTGGGCATGCGCAGGACGTTCTTGAGGAGTGCGAGTGAGGAAGGCAACTTTTGCCTGAAGCTGATTTGCGAGCAGGCTTGTTGTTAGGAACACTCTATTTGGGGTTTGTTTGACAAGGGGGGCCTAGGACGGTTCCCCTCGTTGCTTACACAAGCTCTTCAAGCTCTTCCGAATGCTTCAGGCGCGGTGGGTGGCATGCTGGGCGCCTACAAGCAGGAGAGAGAACCCGCATTCCATGTGAGAGGCGGAAGCGTCAGCCAGCAAACACGCTAGGGGAGGGGAAAGTCAAGATGATATAGGACTCTTGAAGCAGCAGCCAGGCTAGGTAGATGCAGACCATTTTGTAGATATACAATGGTATATATACGGAATTTAACTTACTTGGACACCTGCTGGCTCTTTTGGCCAGAGCAACTGAGCAACTGGGCAGTTTGAAGACATCCTCATCATCATCATCTTTGTGAGTAACAAAGGGGTGTCCTTCCTGGTCGCAGATGTTTGGTCTCTCCACGACCGGATGGGACGGACGTGGGAGCGTCACAGGATACTCTGCTGGACCTGGACTTCTCCTCTAAGTTCACCACCAAGCCCATGAAGGTCTGGCGTGGCCGGTGGCCGGGAGGACCTAGAACCAACCGCCTAGACGGCGAATGCAATGCCATGGTGGGTTGCAGCACTAGAGGCATGTAGCATCACGTAGCCCAACGCGAATGGGGTCCAGGTACAATGCAAACATTTGATACTCATGGTCCCGCCACGCAGCGCTACGCATCCCCATCGCGCTCTGCATGGCAAA